ACTGTAAGTGTAATTAAAGGGACTGTAAGCTCAATGAAAGGGACTGTAAGCTTAATTAAAGGGGCTGTAAGTGTAATTAAAGGGACTGTAAGCGTAATTACAGGGACTGTAAGCTTAATTAAAGGGACTGTAAGCTTAGTTAAAGGGACTGTAAGTATAATTAAAGGGACTGTAAGCGTAATTAAAGGGACTGTATGCGTAATCAAAGGTACTGTAAGCGTAAATAAAGGAACTGTAAGCGTAATTACAGGGACTGTAAGCTTAATTAAAGGGACTGTAAGCTTAGTTAAAGGGACTGTAAGTATAATTAAAGGGACTGTAAGCTTAATGAAAGGGACTGTAAGCTTAATTAAAGGGACTGTAAGTGTAATTAAAGGGACTGTAAGATTAATTAAATGGACTGTAAGCGTAATTAAAGGTACTGTAAGCGTAATTAAATGGACTGTAAGCTTAATTAAAGGGACTGTAAGCGTAATTAAAGGGACTGTAAGCGTAAATAAATGGACTGTAAGCTTAATTAAAGGTACTGTAAGCGTAATTAAAGGGACTGCAAGCGTAATTAATGGGACTGAAAGCGTAATTAAATGGACTGTAAGCTTAATTAAAGGGATTGTAAGCGTAATTAAAGGGACTGTAAGCGTAATTAGAGGGACTGAAAGCTTAATTAAAGGGACTGTAAGCGTAATTAAAGGGACTGTAAGCGTAATTAAAGGGAATGTAAGCGAAATTAAAGGGACTGTAAGCCTAATTAAAGGGACTGTAAGCGTAATTAAAGGGACTGTAAGCGTAACGATGCCCTTTCAACTTTTGACAACAATTACTCGTACAGTCTCTTCAAATCTTGTCTTTATTATTCTCTCTTTTTTCCTTACAGATATAAAATCCAATGTGGCAGTTTATTATGAAGTAAAGAGGTATATTTAGTTTCAGAGTCGAAAAGAAGAATATTCTCTAATAATAAAATTACAAAAATTGCTTGATGATCAGCTAGCTATTTAGAAATTAAAAAAAAAATTTTAGTTGAAATTATAAACTTTATTCTCTGATATAAAAAACTATTATATCACACTGGCCCACGCACTGTCAACTAAACAGATGGAGAGGGTCAAATTTATACGACATTACTGGTTTGACTTTGTGACCTTGTAGCTCCTACACTTATGATTTTCTGCACAAGAAAAGCAAATTTATTTGGTTGAAAATCAGAAATTCAGAACATATTGGTTAATCTCAATAGCTTTCTATGATAAAAATTGAGTTATGATTGAAAACATTTAAAATTTCAAGTTTACTTTCAGTTAGATGTTCACCGGGTTTAAATACCGCGTAAATCAGGATGCTGCAATAAAAGGATGGTGAAGGGATCAAGCTAATTAATGGAAGGATGGTGAAGGGATCAAGCTAATTAATGGAAGGATGGTGGAGGGATCAAGCTAATTAATGAGGGGAGCTGTAAAATTATAAACTATTCCCAAAGGGGATCTACAGGTATATTTAAGGATGAAATCTTTATAATGAAACAGAACATAACTTTATCTTCAAGCTCGTGTACACAAGACTAGGTAAAATATCATCATGTTAGAAACATACAGGGTTTCTCACAAAACATGAGACTTCAGAGCCGATTTTACATAATTCATACCGTTTCCTTAAATTCATAATGCCATGCAATTGTAAATTGCGTTCTTACTTTGTCACATCATTTAAAGACAATTTACGGGTAAGAAGACCTAATTAAACCTTGAGTTCAGGTCGTCTTTACAGCAGGCAACCCAGTAGATTAACATAGATTTAATCTACAAAAATAATTGTATTAACATATATTAACTAAGGTGTAATGTTAACATAATATAAATAATACATATAGTAATCGCAACAATAATTGTGGAAATTCAGGAATTCAGTGATTAAGAAACAGAATTTCTAAGCATTTAAATTAATTTGACGATTCAAATTGATTTGAATTGTATAAAACCCTTTTTTCACACACTTTAAATATCCTTTTTTCAATATTAGAATAAATTTACCATTCTGATTCCCAAAAGCAGTCTGAGAATCCATCACAAATAAATTTCAATATCTAAACATTTAATATGTTTCTATAAATTTCTATATTTTTAGAATTGGTGGAAAATATTCCCACAATCTCTATTTCATAAATTACTTACTTACTTTAGTATGTTTAAACACATGGTCTGTGTGACCCTCCTAGCCAGCTGTCTTCACTCTCAACCAACATTTTCGGATATATACAGGTAAAGACGACATTTGAACCCGTCAATAAGATAAAGAAAAATACAGTGACATATGGGATTTAGTATTTGCCACAATGGAATACTTAGTGACGTCACTAAGCATACTTTTATTCATTATTGGTGTACTGAAAACGACATTTCCAAAGGAACTGTAAGCGTAATTAAAGGGACTGTAAGCGTAATTAAAGGGACTGTAAGATTAATTAAATGGACCCCCCCCACCTACATAACCCCCCACCCAAATGTAATCCCCTCAATGTCTAAACCTGTATCACATTTAATTTCCTTTTCCTGATATTTTACAGTTTACATAGTAATACAAAGATGTCAATGCCCTGAATCCCGATTTACAACGGTACCCTAGAAACCTTTATCTGATCAATAAAATGAAAGATATTCTAGACTTAAAGGGAGTGTTCACGAAAAATGAAAGGGGGTATAGGTTTACCGCGAAAAATACGCGCTTTTGATCGCTACTAATCTTACTTCTATCTGTTGCGTCTATAAGGAGACAATTGTTAAAAACGACTAATACTGAAGAACGCTGCGTCCATACACATTCGGAAAGATGCAACATTCACCTCGCGGATCGTAAACAAATCAATTCAATTCCAAACAAATCATTCAGATATTACAAACAATAGACATCGATTATTTTTCGACTTAAGATATTTAATTCTGATAAGTTCTTTTTCTTATAATAAGTAGAAATGGGCAAGTCCATTTCGTAGAAAACCAACAACTGAAAATAATCAGTTTTTCTTTTTCTTATAATAAGTAGAAATGGGCAAGTCCCTTTCGTAGAAAACCAACAACTGAAAATAATCAGTTTTTAAATTGATATCTAATTCAAACTTTATCAGACAAGGCTTTTAAGGATACCGTTTTAAATCAGGCATTGTCATCTTTGCTTGGAGCTTCACTTCGAATTATACTGTCCCCCCTAATATCTATAAATGAAATTTTTAGAAACCTCCAGAATTATATGTAACTACTAACTAGCTGAAGTGCCCCATGGAATTTAAGTAAATTTTAAAAAATCGAGTTTGAAAAAAATACAAATAAAATTTTGATTTTTAAAGGCCTATGTTACCCCCAGGTACCCATGGGTTTCCTAAAAATATGTCAGCCAATTTGGTCCAGCGGTTTGTCCAGATATAGCTAACATAACTATATATATATATGACCGAAGAGCTGTATTATATAGATTAACTATTTCATTCTTTTAATATACACGGACACATTTTTGATAAAAACTAAAAATGTATTTGTTTAAAGAAAAATGTTTTTCTTTTAAAGAATGTTCATTAAGCATCAATAAAGTAAAAGAATTCTCTGCTACAATCCGATTCTAATTTAGGAAATATTTTTCTGTTGTTCATTATTACTTTTTTAGGTTCAATAGTCGCAAACTTAAAGGAATTTTTAGACGGAATTTCAAAAGACTCTCTTCTCTATTTGTTGAGAGTCGAATTCCCCCCAATCATTATTGACGACATATAGAACTCTGTGTGTTTATCTCTGAAATAATGTTTAAATTGTCAAAATCTCGATTGCAGCTAGCATAGTCTTTGTCTGACGTGATTTTGAACAAATTCAAATAAAATGTTCTTTAATAACGAGATCGCAAACAAAGTTTTCAACTCTTACAAGCGATTCTGTGGAGAAATAGGATTAAGTTCATTATCCTTGATCATTCAAGCATTAACCCTGAACAGGATGGGAGGGGGGGGTGGGGGTGTTTGACGCCCCCCCTCTAGTTTTTTAGTCCTAGTGAATTCAAATTTAAAGGATTAGCCGAGAACTATTTTGTGACTTCAGGTATAAAAACTATGTTTTTGTGAAGCTTTGAAAAATGGATGTAGGAACATGTGTCACACTTTTATATGGAAAAACAAAACAAAAATATATTTTACATTTATTTGGCATTTTTTTTACCTAAACTATCGGTTATCGGTCTAATTTTTGTTCAATGAGCTGGCCTATGAACATGCATTTCAAACCTATACCTATTCTATAAGGCTTTTTTCTTGAGGGCTTTACATAAATTCAGACCCCCCCCAGCCTTTATAAAGTTAAAGGACGTATCTCATGTGAATCTGACACTCCACTCTATAAATCAGGGCCTTTCAAATAATCTCAGGCGACCCCAATTTAAAGAGTTGCCTCATCGATTCACAAAGATACCTTTCCCTATACCGACAGTCAATGAATCTGGGTAAATAGGGTTAATATTAATTTAATCTCTAGTTTGTATCCTGTAAAGTGTATAAAATTCAACTAAAAAATAATCTAAAAAATGAACTTTTGCGCGTACAATCAAAAGAACTCCATAAGGATATCCAAAATCCAAGATTAACAATTAAATTAAAAGTGTCCACGATGGATATTTATCCAATTCTAAAGTTTTCAGTTAAGAATATATCAAATTCTCAAATCAGAAATGTCGGATTGAAATAAAGTTAGTGCAGAGGATCCATCAATTGTTTCATTTTTTGTGCACACTATCTATTAAGGTAACATTAGAAGTAGGGTTTCCAGCGAAAAGGGAAAACCATTTCGCGAAATTTTTTTTCCCATTTCGTTAATTTGCGAAAAATGCGAAAATTTTCGCATATAATAAAACTTTTTGTGCTGAGCTTCCAGAGCAGAGAATTCCACAAGTTTTTTTAAACAATTGCGCATTTTTTCGCTTAATTCATTTTCGCGATAAAATGCGAAATTTTGCTTAAAACGAACGCAAATTGTCATCTCTAGATCCATTCCGGTTAACTGATGATGCTAAAGGTGTTTTTAGTTTAAGGTAAAATTTATTTATAACTTTTAACCAGGGTCACAACTATAGGGAATCATGTGAATCTTACACTCCACTCTATAAATCAGGGCCTTTCAAATAATCTCAGGCGACCCCAATTTAAAGAGTTGCCTCATCGATTCACAAAGATACCTTTCCCTATACAACTTCAGGAGGAAGATATCGTTTTTCAAAAGATATATATATATATTATGTATATATAGGGGATATATATTATGTATATATAGGGGGGGGGGGGGACTTGTTTAAACTCTGACATTTTCCTTTTTTGTCTCTATCAAAATCAGTATTTGAATGGTATTTGAGAAATACTGTAGAGATGACATATTTGAAAAATATCAATTTTTAGTTATCTTTATAATTTACATTCAAGAACGTAAGATATCAAATATCTCCTAAAAGCCTCTCAATTGTCATGTTTAACAGGACACCCTGTCCAACCTTAATATCTTTTTGATTTTTATTTTCACCCTGTATACCTAGAGCAATATTAAAAATTTTCTTTTACAAATTATATTTCAGTTTATGGATTTCTGATGGTGGGACATTTTACCCACTTGGGCATCATCAGAGGTATCAAAATCAAAATTATAATTTATTTTACAAATATTTTAGGATCCGTTTTAATTGAAGGGTTGCGTTTGCTTAAAAATAAAGAGATAATAAACCTTGATAATTGTAAATTTATTTTCATTCGAGGTTTCTGTAAAGAATATTTGATGTATATAAATAAATATAAAAAATAAATATTTAAGAACCACTTCATTTGCTTTTCACAGAAATATCTGATAGAAATGAAAATTAATTTATCAATTAGATGCATTTAATCTTAAATTTTTCTTGAACNGTAAAATCTATCTTATGGTTTCCAGAACACTGGTGCTATTCTGATTAAGCGATCAGGATAAAGGATATCCAATTCAAAAGTTTTCAGCCGAGAAACAAATTTAGGCCCTCCCCCCATGGACAAATTTCTATAAGTACGCCAGGAATCAGTTTTTGTTTTGAGCAGGGGCCCTGATATCCTGGAAAACCAAGGAGGGGTAACAGGTAAATATGTATTTAAGTGACCATTGTTGCAATTACTAATTAAGCTAAAATCTAGTGCTTTATGGTTCTCAAATGTACATGTCTAGGGCTACAAAAATTAGTTAAAAATAAAAAGTCAAAGTCAAAGACAATTTAAAACTTCCAAACCGGCCCTGTCTTGGAAAAAAAACTATTTTTCTGTGTGTTTATGACGTCCCTTAATTATAAATTCTGACAAAAAAGTAAAACAAAAAATGAGAAAAGTTGCAACACTTTTTTGGATCGATTCTCAAATCCAAATATATATTAAAAAATATCTTTTTGTCCGTTGAGAGCTAGATTGTTGAATGTATGGGGGGTAAAATAACAAGTTTTTACTCTTGAGAAATATAAAACCAATTTCCAAGCTTCCTATCATAATATATCCACCCATTCAACGATATATCCATCCTCTTACATATAATGTACACAAAATACGTCACTCAGAACAAATATTTCATTAAAAATATCTTTTCACTTTCTAAAAGTTTTAAAAAGTTTTAAAAGCTAAAAATAAGATTATACTATGTTGTTTTGCGTGATAGTTTTGAAGATAGATACTGTGTTACCCACAAAGGTTGAGACTGTGAAGACGACTGACAACTCCAAGGTTATTCTAAGTATTCTGCCTGAAATATTGTATTTTAATGGTTTATTTAATAATTTGGCAAGGAAAAAACAGTTTACAGTTGCAGGGAATCATGAATATAGGGAAACAGACAATAAACAATTAAAACTTTCTAAAGCATCTTATTGGTTTTAGGCTAATAAGTTAATCATGAATATAGGGAAACAGACAATAAACAATTAAACTTTCTAAAGCATCATCTTGGTTTCAGGCTAATAAGTTAACACTTAATGTTTCAAAAACCAAATATATTGTATTTAGAAATAAATCTATGCCATTTGATGATCTCAAAATAGGAAATGAAATTATTGAAGGAATATGTTGCAAAGATAAATATTTCAAGTTTGTCGGTGTAAAATTTGACAAATTTTTGAACTGGATTTATCAATTAGATGGTATTTGTGCAAAATTATCTGGTGCAATTTTTGCCCTGAAAAGCGTTAAAAAGCTTCTCCCGTTAAACATAAGAAAGATAGTTTATGAAAGTTTAATAAAATCTCAATTAGAGTATGGTATTTTAGCATGGGGGTCATCAACAAACAATAAAATAGGAAAATTATTTAAACTTCAAAAGAAAGCAATACGGACTTGGTCAGATAAAGGGTATTCACAGCATACAGATCCTTTGTTTTCTAAACTTGGAATGCTTAAATTATCTGATATACACAAACATAATGCTTCTACTTTTATGTATAAATATATAAAAGAAAAACTTCCTTCGTCTTTTAATGGAATGTTTGCTCCATTTGTAGAACCTAATAGGACACAAAGTTTTAAATTGGAATTAATAAGAAACAAATATCTTAAATCTTTTCCAAAAATATTTCTCACGAGAATTTGGAATAGTGTTCCAATATCAGTACTTAGTTTCAAAACGAATATGAAAATATATCTGGCTTCTAAATATAAGGAATTTAAATGTAAAAACAGGAACTGCTACTCATGTAATTTGAAAATCTTGTAAACCACTCTGTAACATATTATCTACAAAAATTGGATTTTTCAGCTCTGGGGTTTCTCCTTCTCTTCCCTTTTTCCCTTTGCTATTCACCCATCCTTCTTTCCCCCCCTTTTTAAAAAAAAAAATATTTTGTGAATTGTGTAATGTATTCGTTATTTGTTAATTTTAAAAAATAAAATGTTTCTATAAAACTTTGGAGGGCCAGCCAATCAAAACAACCAGAAATGGTTAGGCTGTAGCCCTGGCTAATAATTGTTAAGTAAAAAATTATAAAAAGTAAAATGTATTTATTATAATGTTAGCCGAAATATCTATCTATCTATCTATCTAACAGTCGTCTCTGCAGTCTCGTCCTTTGAGGGTAACCATGGTAGAAAAGCTGAAATTATGAAAAATTATTTTTATCGTCAATTAGAATTTTAATGACTTATTTTAATGATTTGGAAAAGAAGGTCTCATCCTTTGTGGGTAATTTTGAAGCAAAGCTGAAATTGTCCAAAAAATAAAAAAAATTCTTCGATTCTCAAGATTACGAGAACCTTTAGACAGTAGACACACATTTAGTCAATTTTTAGCGATCGGAAATCAAAAATGACCTTTTAATATTTCTTGTATTTATTTGGACACCCTGTAGGATTCCGTGTCTCCAAGAAAGCAGCGTTTAACTCCTGGGCCGGTAAGCAAGTTGAAGGTATTTTTTTTAAAGGGACTGTCTACGTAATTTGAAGTGATCCTATTCCTTTACTTATAAAGTAACATGAAATATTTGGGACGACCCCTTTAAACCTGTGTCTTAATATTCGGAACGACCCCTTTAAACCTGTGTCTTAATATTCGGAACGACCCCTTTAAACCTATGTCTTAATATTCGGAACGACCCCTTTAAACCTATGTCTTAATAACAACTTAATAGAAATCCATGATTTTTTTCTTCAACTGTAAACAGAGCTTTTTTTCTATTTTCTTCTCTTGCACTAGAATGGGCTGATTTATTTGGTGTACTGTCCCGATTTGCCTTTCATAGTCTGTCTGTGTACCGTACTGCTAGACTGGCTTTACCTGATTAAAAGTCGGTACGGTACTTGGCATAAACCGAAATTAAAAATGTTGTCTCTGCTACATATATGTGTAAGTCACTTTTACAATAAAACCACAATGACCGATGTTTAAAAAGAAAAACCAGTTCCAAGGACGATGTTATAAATCGAGAATATTATTCTTTAATAATAAAATTAGTTAATGGAAAGGACAACAAAATTGATCTCATAATTTTAAAAGACATGAGAAATTTGATAACTGCCGTCTTTACTTATTTACAAACACGTTCTTTCAAGGCACAGAACTAAGATATGTAGACTGGATCCATGTTTACAAAGAAAATTATAATTCAAAATTTATATTGAAAAAGTTTTTACTTCGTGTTTTTCAAATATTCTTCAGGTTCATGAGTCATACAAAAAAGTTTCAGATTTTACAGTTTCTGAGAAATACATTTATAACAAAGCAAAATATTCTGCATATCCCTCCAACCTAAAAACTTATCAATACACGTCCATGTTACAAAGTAATGTATCATTTACTCTTATAAAAACTAGAATCAATGAAAATTTAACTTCCTTGGCATTCAATAATAAACCAAAGGTTTTATCATTGAATCCCACAGGGGTTTAAATCTATTGGTTCTAATTTATGAAATAATTTATATTCATCAATGTTCTATTTATTTATTAATATTTGTTTTATATTGGGAAGCTTCCCAATATAAAACATGGCAAAGTTGACAGAAAGAACACAGGCTTTCTTCATCAACCTTTGATTTAATTACAGAACAGAGTTGAAAACTTTAGAATTTTGGATATAGAGATTAGAGATCAATGCTTGGTTTCTAAATTTTTATCATTCTTAACCCTTTCTGGCCGGGGGGGGGGGGGGGGNATATTAACTATTCCTTGTCTAATAGTCTAATCAGGATATTAACTATTCCTTGTCTAATAGTCTAATCAGGATATTAACTATTCCTTGTCTAATAGTCTAATCAGGATATTAACTATTCCTTGTCTAATAGTCTAATCAGGATATTAACTATTCCTTGTCTAATAGTCTAATCAGGATATTAACTATTCCTTGTCTAATAGTCTAATCAGGATATTAACTATTCCTTGTCTAATAGTCTAATCAGGATATTAACTATTCCTTGTCTAATAGTCTAATCAGGATATTAACTATTCCTTGTCTAATAGTCTAATCAGGATATTAACTATTCCTTGTCTAATAGTCTAATCAGGATATTAACTATTCCTTGTCTAATAGTCTAATCAGGATATTAACTATTCCTTGTCTAATAGTCTAATCAGGATATTAACTATTCCTTGTCTAATAGTCTAATCAGGATATTAACTATTCCTTGTCTAATAGTCTAATCAGGATATTAACTATTCCTTGTCTAATAGTCTAATCAGGATATTAACTATTCCTTGTCTAATAGTCTAATCAGGATATTAACTATTCCTTGTCTAATAGTCTAATCAGGATATTAACTATTCCTTGTCTAATAGTCTAATCAGGATATTAACTATTCCTTGTCTAATAGTCTAATCAGGATATTAACTATTCCTTGTCTAATAGTCTAATCAGGATATTAACTATTCTTTGTCTAATAGTCTAATCAGGATATTAACTATTCCTTGTGGAGCAAAGTTATTTTCCAGTTCTTGCAAACATTTTACCAAACTACAGTATAATAAACTATTATTTGAAAAGGAAAAATAAAATAAATAGATATTTTTAAAGAATAGCATGCAAGTAGCCAATCAATGGAATAATCGAACTTATTTGTTTCGAATTAATTATATAATAATTTTATGAATTAATATATGGGCAGTCATAAGTCCACGGTCCATGGTCAACGCTCATTTTACAATTTTAAAATCTAAATAATAAAGCTCTTTGCTCATATATACGAGTATATACTAGCTTGGGAATCCAGCTTTACCTGGAAAATAATCTTCATAAAAAGTCGTCTCATTTAACCTTGAATTTTTTAACTGAAAGCTAAGAACATTTCCGTGGTTCCTAATGATATTTTGAGGCAAATCGGTGTAGGGGTTCATGATCGAACAGACAAACAACAAACAGACACCTAAACAGAGATTACTACTTTATATAAATTATGTAAACGTTCAGATGTGGATACAAACAGATAAACTTTATCTATCCTTTAAATAGAATCTTGTTTATAGGCAATTGTTCCGAGATATAAACAGTTTAAATATATTTTAAATTTATTACCCGCCTAACAGTCTGCTTATTGTACATTTAATATGTAATATTGTAGTATACAGGGTGTACAATTTATTATGATTTTTCTAGGTAATAGTTATAGACAGAAATATGATATTAGCTAGATATATTTATTTTGTGAAATTCTTATTTTTTTAAAAGTTTGTTTGATAGTTTTGTTTTATAACTGCATGGATCATTTGTTTTCTATTACGTTCTTATAATGAAGAGATAAATAGCTTTGAAAACATCTATTTTCTTGTTCTTTGTTTAAGCAAAAGTCAGGCAAAAAGGGACAATTCCCAAATGAGGAACGGAGAGACCGCAGATTACTCGGTAAAGTAAATAATATTTTTTAAATTTTAAAAATCGATATTTATGTTAACTTTAATATTTCTTAGGTTCCTGATGAGCGTCCTTTGGTAAATATTTTAAAGCTTTATAGTTCAAAAAAAGTATAAAATTTATTTCATGAACAAGCTTTTAGTTTGAACTAAAGTCGTCGTCGCATATATCAATACAATGAAGACGATTGTCGATTTCAATTTTGATTTAGATCAAGCTTTTTAACAGCAAGAATACATAAATCGAAACAAAGAGAAACTGTCAATTAAACAAAGCTTCTCTTTCATTACTGGTAAACTTGTAATTGGAAAAAAAGCTTTTTAATAATCAAAACTTGAATAAAAGTCATCTTCATTGCATTAATATTAATTCCGATCACTGTCTTTTTTTCTAAATCTTAGCGACCACTCAAATTTTCCTTTCAAAAGGTCATGGTTACTCGAACCTTCTCCCCGTGGGGAGGCAAATAGTTGAAACTAACCTAACAAATATTCAGAGCTGCAGGTGAAATATTCTTTATCAGCTAATTTATGAATGATCAGCTGATTTATTAATATATGATCGAATGCTTTGTTATCAAGGACGATCGTTTTAATCAACTGACATCGGTCGAAAATATTAATGAACGCAGTAAGAACGATTTATAAACAAGCTGGAATGCTCAATATTTAAAGAAAGGGATACGAACAGTTCTTGGGTGAACAGGGGTCTTTCCCATTTATAATCAATCATCGAAAGTTAAAAATAAAACCTACATAATTTTTTTCAAATGAAATAGATTAATAATCTAATTTTGCACAAGATTTTTTTTGAAATCTTTTAAAACTAGATTATTTTATTCATCTAAACAAATTGTGGGATTTTTTATTTGTGCACAATTTTTATTCAATCTGCATTTAAACGAAATTTCCTTTTCTTTTAGAATAAATATAAATTAATAATTTATTTTTAATGTATTTTTATCTTTTTAGTGGAGGAGGCTGTTAGGCTGAAACAATCTAATTCCTAAATGCATATTATGTCATTTAAAATAAAATATTGAATAATAGATATTAAGATATGTGTATTTGTTTAATTTTTTGTTTCTTTGTGAACTCAGGCTTAAAAAACATAGCAACTGGCCTGCGGCCGGGATCCATATCATGTGACACCGGCATCCATAAAACAATGAAATGGAAAGACTCAAGTAACGATTTTAGTCCAAGGAACAGTGTACACAGCGTAACTAGACCAATTTCACTGAATAAGTTTATTTTTGAACTACTGGTTAAACTATTTGCTTTATACCAACATTATATGCACACACGATTACTGTAATGTCGTCTTTCTTTTCCGCATTTTTGGGGGGTCTCACAGTTGCCATAAAGAACTACAACAGGAAAAAACACCAGTATTATTTATCGTACAAATATTCCATGGGGAAAAGAGTACTTATAGAACCTATGGAGGGGAATTTGTTTACATTCCGCCTATGATGTCATTGGTTAGCTAAAAACTAGTTTTTTTACGAACAAACAATTGCCAGGCCCTTCTGCGCTGATTAGTGAGCCGTGTTAACAGACTTTTCCTACTAAACTAAATTGGGTCTTGCTCTTTCAATGAACAGTTTTTTTTCTGACAGGGCAAAAAATATTTTAATGATGTAAACAAAGTTCGCAAATATATCTTTATAATTAGTACATATTGTACAGTCCTAATCAGAAATATATCTTTATAATTAGTACATATTGTACAGTCCTAATCAGAAATATATCTGTATAATTAGTACATATTGTACAGTCCTAATCAGAAATATATCTTTATAATTAGTACATATTGTACAGTCCTAATCAGAAATATATCTTTATAATTAGTACATATTGTACAGTCCTAATCAGAAATATATCTTTATAATTAGTACATATTGTACAGTCCTAATCAGAAAGACCCGTAATTTATTCACAATTAATCAGACGATTTTACAATCTAATTTTACAATCTAATTTTACAATCTAATTTTACAATCTAATTTTACTACAATCTAATTTTACAATCTAATTTTACAATCTAATTTTACAATCTAATTTTACAATCTAATTTTACAATCTAATTTTACAAATATACAAACAGGATGAAACGATAATCACAAATAGCCATAGTCCAGCCATTTCCAAAATGTGGTCTGCCTTTAAAATTTCCAGAGATATATTGTAATATCGCCTGATTGACTGTCAATTAATTCCGGGTCTTTCTGATTATGACTGTTTTACTTTCTTTAAATGAAATACTGAATTTTTTGACCACACAGCCTTACGCGTCTCTGACGTACAACGATCTTGCCTGCAGACTATATTTGTTACATTGAACGTGTTGGGTCGATTTCACGCTAGATGGTCCAGACTGGTCAGCAAGTTAATGCTTATACAGATTAAATTGTACCAGCTCGGAATATACAACGATTGTATAGCCATGGGAAACCTTGTATATAAGAACTATGTATGTTTTGTAATTGTGTCAATGTAGACTTTACAATACATATGCCCAGGGGAAATCTGTTTGTATTAGAAAATGAATAAAATGTATTGACACTTTTTTCCTAAGTAAGCTTCTCAATATCTTTTTTTATAAAAAGAGAATCACAAAGTGAAAAGGGAGTTTAAAGTTTTATTTTATTTCCGTCCTATTGTAGCATAATTGATCATACAAAAAGAATATATCGGTAAGTTTAAGAATGCACCTAATCTTAATTACACATATTTTAAAAAACCTCCTTTTTTAATCTTTTAGATGTCAAGAAACGTAACTTAGCAAACAAATGACAGCTCACAGTAAACTGTAATTAGGGGTGGGTGTAAGTGGTTTTTGTCAGTTTTTAACAACCTTAATAAAACTTCCAATATTTTAAAAGTGTATTCTGCTCAAGTTTGCTTTTTATTAAACTTTGTGCAGTATTTTAAGCCTCAGAGAAAAACGAACCAAAAAACGCTCGTTTTAATTTAACAGCTTCGTTTTGATTCGTTTTTTTGCGCATACTTTCTTTATGGGTCAAAATTTTGAACTAAACCCTATACTCTTCGGTATAACTGCACCAAAAAAGTTCTCTCAACATTTTTTTTTGATACATGTATTTAATGCAGAATCTTCTAACAGTTTTCGGATATAAAGTCCTAATATTTGGCACGGAAAAAGTCCTATGAAAAAAAGAATCTGAAAATAAAGTCCGACCATTCACGAAAAAAATGTCAAGGAATCTAAAACATAGGACTTTATTTCCAGTTACAGTATTTTCGGGACTTTTCCACCCTAGTTTCTATTTCCAGGTTTATTTATAACTTTTTTCCGTGACTTAAATAGAATCATACCTCTTCTCTTTGTTATCTTATATTATCATACCTAAGGCCGAATTTAAATAATTTGAGCCGGGCCTTAAATTTAAGCCACGGCTCAAATATGACTGGTTTCACTTTCAAGATTTTTCAACATTTAAGACGGCGCTGAATTGAAAGCGGGTTTTGGCGGATTTGAGACGCAGCTCAAATTCATAAAATTCGGACACTGGTATTCTTTTTATAAAATTGTTAAAATCTTCAAATCTGACCACAAGCAGAACAGTGAACTTAAACAAACTTCTAGCTGTATTGCGCTGCAAATCTAAAGCATTTTATATTTTAAAAATTGTGGAATATCAATATATTTTGTCGACAAAAAAACTGAAAATTTCTTTGAAAAAGATATATTACAACTGAATCATCACAGTGATTAAAGAATTACATTTAATAATATATTATTGAAAAATGATAATGTATTTTAGAGAGTTGAGTTCTATCCTCCTCTGATAGTTCTCAATCAATTAATAAATCACTACATTAATATAATCAAATATCAAGAAAACTGACAAGTATATGCTAAATATGTTCACAGTATTTCGTTTTCAAGCCCCTTGGATTTCTTCTGTACAATGTACGCAATGTTTGTATGTACGGAACAACATAGTCAAATTGTATGCGTTTTGAGTACTGAACAATGTACAGTACATTATAGTGTTCAAAGAAGCTTCGATTGGAACCCCCATTTAATAATTCATAAAAAAGAGTACTACAGTTTGAAGAAATGTAAGCTACACATTTGTTTGTTTACAATTCTTTAAAAAATTTGCAGTGCACTATTTTCACACGTACTCATTGGTAGATTTCCTATAAGAAAACCGACGAAGAGACAGTACGCTATTGTTTTGTGTTATTTAATTGGTCAGGTCCGAAATACAGTGAAATATAAAGTCCTTTATGTACATAAGTAGTCTCAAGTGAAATGTACTGTACGTAGTATGCTAAGCGCAATTTATTGAGAATATGATAAAAGAATAAAATTATATTACAATTTTGTCGTTGAAAATAAATAAATGTGAAAATAAATTTTGCATGAAATGTTCTACATTGACAATGCAAAAAGGGTAAATGTGTTATTTTGTAATATGGATAAATAAGTGATCTTAGGATAAACAATGTTACATTGAGTTATTTTTGGACACAATTCCATCCTGAAATGTAATTGATTAGTAATCTTAATTGTAAGTTGAAAAGCTACATTTATTTTATATGGTCTAAAAATTATAGCTTCCTTATTATTTACAAATCAAGTCAATAAACAAAATATTAAAGTAAATTGAAAATATGTTTGATTAATATTCAAGAGATCTTTGATACAAAGGTTGTTTTTCTTCATTTAAATAAATTTTAATTTGATTTTCTAAAATCCTGATCAGGAGTTTATCGTTAAAAACCAATCTTCGTTTCGTAGAGGTTTTATAATCCCTTGGCAATCCTAAAAGTATAAACAAATTGAAAAATGATTAAATTTACTACAGGGTTACCAAAAATAGGATAAACATACTTTAGAGCCCGAAACTTAAGACAAAGTATCGCAATAAAAACCCAGTATCGAAACCCGGTTTCATGAATGGGACCTGACAGTTCTGTGATACCAATATTATTGTTAAAGGGAGTGACCAGCTATGTAAGGTAGTTGAACTGAGTATGCAGTGTTGTGGAAAGCTTCTTTCGGATTCATTTGAGACTTATTAAACTTTTTAAAGATCTGTAAATCCTGAGTTTGAGCGCAAATTCGACGTTCAAAACTTCTACTTTGGGAGTGGATACGTTTTCAGGATTAGTTTTTTTAATTATTGAATAACGACAACGAAAATTAAAGTAAAAATTATACAGTAATCTATAAATTAAATAGTTAGGAACATATTTCTTAAAAGAAATTTGACAATAAATCAATGTTAAAATCGATTAATTCGTTTTCATTATTATAATGAATTTCTTATTTTCTTTGAATTTATTCGCAGATTTCTTCAAATTCTTCAAATGTCGTCTTTTCAATAATAATTTTAGAAAATCTGCGAAAATCTTTGTGAATAATGAGAAACCAGAATAATAAGAAAATAGAAACTAATAATTGAACAAGATTACTTATTTTCGATGATAAGACCAATTTTTATTTGCTCAACATGTTCCTATACATTTAATGTCGTTGTTATTTAATAATTTAAAAGAACTGATTCTGAAAACGTATCCACCCCCAAAGTAAAAGTTTTGAACATCGAATTTGCGCTCAAACTCAGGATTTACAGATCTTTAAAGAGCTTTATATGTCTCAAATGAATCCGAAAGAAGCTTTCCACAACACTGCATACTCAGTTCAACTACCTTACATAGCCGGTCACTCCCTTTAAGAATTATTATTTCATGTGGTTTCTTTACATTATCTTTTTGTTTTCTGATTTCTCGAATCACAATCTGCGCAATTAAACCCGAAAGCTTCGTTCAACGAAAATCGCGCAAATTTCCGGCTCAGGGACGACTGGACGGAATGTATATCTTGTTGCTTGCGTTATTAGTTAGCTGTGACCTGAACATCGTTACTTTCTTAATTTTAACCCATTTCTTTTATTCTAGACAGAAGATCATTTCAATTGTTGGATCGTTATCTTCAAAGAACTTTTACTTAAGGTAAATAATGTATTTTGATTAAATCGAGAATGAAGAAATTAGAAATGAAATTTTACTAACCTTGAAATTAATTCTTCAAGCTTCTCCTTTTCCTGAAAGAAAAGTTAAGATTTCAAAGCAATAAAAATAACACTGTTAAAAAAAATTAACTGTGTCTTAGAAGATTTAAGAGTGGATGATAAGCAGTAAGTACCTTCCTTTAAATCTATTCCTTGGGAGCATGAAGTTTTATATTTGGGCAAATCTGAAGTTGTGTAATGCTGATTACAGGAGAGAACTTGAGCATGGGTTCAATTCTGAATTCTAATGGAGGGTTCTTAAGAAAATCAAAGGGATGGAATATCGAGGGAAAGGGGAAGGGGGGGTAATGTTAAGGAATCTTGAAACAAATCAAGCCATGAAAATCACATTTTCTAACGCGTTTTGGTATATAATTCTACAATTTTTAAATTCACCGAGTTTTCTTATAGACTTTTTCGTATAAAATTTGTTCGCAAACAATAAACTGAACAAGAAAACGAAAAGTTTATGTTTATGATTATGTTTATGTTTATGTTTAAGTTTCTGTTTATGTTTATGATTATGTTTATGTTTATGTTTATGTTTATGTTTATGTTTATGTTTATGTTTATGTTTATGTTTATGTTTATGTTTATGTTTATGTTTATGTTTATGTTTATGTTTATGTTTATGTTTATGTTTATATTTATGTTTATGTTTATGTCAACTAAATTCTGATCAAAAGTCATTAAATCTGAGTTAGAGAACGTCAAAATTGCATGGCAGTGCAATTTTTTAACCAGGAAGGATAAACTTGTTACTTGCAATTATAGGTTGTCAAGTGCAATAGATGGCAACGTAAAGAATGCGTACACTTTAAGTACAGCTGTCTACGTCACAAGTGTCAAGTCACAGTGAGAAAAAAGGATGATTCCACCAAATGACAGCAATTATACTCCATGTAATTTTGAGTTGTAAATATTTGTTACGTATTCCTGCAAAGACGACATTTATCTCTGCTGAATCTCGGAAATCATATCTACATGTCGTTTTTCTTCACACATTTGACACTTGTGACGTCGTGCATAATTTGTTGATTTTGCTGTTGCCATCTATTGTACTTGACAATCTGTTCGGTTACAATTGAACTTGTTTCCTATAAAGGAATTCATTCTTTTATTTTTCATTCATAGTTCCTTGCAGCTGTAAATTTGTTTTTCTCTTTGCCAAGTCATTTAATTTACAATGAAAGACTAAATTGACTTAAAAAAACTAAATTGAACTTTTCAATTGTTATAAGATCCCCTCAGCTGGAAGGATTTTATTCCTCAGCCGAAAAGATGTTCTTTAACACATATTTTTAAAACCTCCTTTCAGAGTGCAATGAGAGGTTTCGTGATTATAAATATTTTTCTTTAATATTTCTCAATACGTTTTCCCCAGAAGAACTTGTAGAAATTTATTAAAGCCCTGGCAATTCCTGGGAATTTGTCACTGGTAATAATTGTTAGAAAAAAATTGTGAACCTGGAGTAGTCCTCATTATACCATTCTGGTTTCTCAGTATAACCGCTCCTCTTTCCAGCCCAGGAACTATAATAACATATTTTAAAGAGACTGTCTCTGTATTATGAATCTTCACTACTAATTTGTTTTCTGAAGAATCTTTGTAACATTTTTCATCGCTTTTATCAAATAATTTAAAAGCGATACAGAATGGAAAATCCAAGAGGACTGTAAACATGTCTCATAGGTCTCAAATTTGAATCCTGACAAATTTATCCCAGTCTTAGCACAACTATAACCATGTCAAGTCAGTCTCTCTCTTTAAAAATGGTCATGTCCGACTAACAACAGTACCGAATACCCACTAAACCTTTTTTCTAATCAATTGTTGTTATATATTTCCTGAATTCAATTAAGTTTTGTGAGATCAAAAAATGTAGAGGGCCTAAACAAACTAGCTTGTAAATCAGTTTTATGTATGCTTTTAACATTGTAATATCTTGTTTAAAGAAACTTTCGTCTTCATTTCAAGTAACTCTCCATTTAAAAATGTACCAGGTACATACGGTAACCTTGAAATCTGATCAATAATGTGGAAGATTCCGAATACCAACGTTTTTCAGACTGAATTGTTTCTGAAGCAAGAAATTTGCAATTCACTTGTGCAAAAAAACCAGAAATGTAAAAAATAAACAATTTTCAAAAACAAAAATATTCCTACTTGATAAGACAAAGCTATTAAGGGTACCGATGTGAATTGAACTCTCTACTCTAACAGTGAAGGATCAATTAAAAAAAGTTTACAGTATCTTTGATAAGAATTCTATTTAATAAATTCTTTGATTCAATTGATTTATAGAATATTTTTTTTTTAATTCAAAGGAATTGATTGTTGATTTAATTGAATCTATTGATTGATTTTGAATTTGTTTGATTGATTTAAATTTGATCAATTTTTGTTACCTGAACGGTGCCCTCTTCCCTGCCCAGCTACTGAATGCCCTAGGCCGGTCACCTCGCTTATTCATATCTGAGAAACAAAAACAATAAATTTTATGAATTATTAAAAAAAAAACAAATCAAGTGTTCCTTTTGCATTACGGAATATGCAATAAAACAACAACAAGACCAAGAAAAAGTTTTCCTTGGAAGTTCTAATGGAATTGCACTATTTCAACTTAAATAATAAAAATGTTATTTTTTACCCATTATATTTTGCTTTAAACACAGTAAAAATGATTTCTGTGTCTCAAGTTCTAAAAATTGAAGTTTCAAATTCATGTTAAGATTACATGTTTATTAAAAATGATAAATTCACATAAGACATAAAACCATACACATTTTTATCATTCAACATTCTTAAAGTTTTGTTATACAAGTTACAACAGATTTACAAACACTAAGAAAGATTCTCTTTTCTTAGAACCTTGAAAAATATGACATCGTGTATATTTACAATATGTTTTTATCTCATTTGAAAGAAGTTCTTTCTCATGAGATCCCCCGCCCCATGATCCCCCCCCTCTGCTAAATGTATGCTCTCTTTTTATCCGCTTACCCCCCCCCCCTCCGTTAGATGTTAAAACTGCCAAGTCCCACCACTTTCTGAGAATAATATTGTTGGAACGGTTCTAGACTTCAGATATACTATAGCACTAAACATGACAATGTAAAGACGACCAACTAAGTTTATGAATATGCATGTGCTTCAGTAGGGAGGGGTTGCAGGGCTGCACTGAGTCCCCCAAAATGGTCTCCAAGCCTCTGTATTCGCAGATGAGTATTAAAAATGACCTGATGATACCCCCATCCTGCAGAATAGATATTACAGAAGTAATGCATACATTTTATATTTTAGAATTTTCATGAAAACACTGCATTACTATAAAAAGACTAAATCTTTTCTTTAAAAACTGTGATTTACTACTTCTATAATATCTATTCTAACGTTTAGGGGTAACGCCAGGTCATTTAAATATTCATCTGGGAATACGGAGGCTCGGAGACGATTTTGCGGGGCTCATGGCGGCCCTCACCCCTCTCTCGCTTTAGTGGGTCATATCATAATTATAAGTGGCTCAAAAAAAAATTTTATAAAAAAAACCCAGTTTAATGGTTTGATGTGCATTTTGACTGTTTTTACTAGGGGTGCATATTTAATATGATATTTGGGTATGTTAAATGGAACCCACTGTATGATGTATAGAACGGGTGGTTTGATATACATTTATAAGTGCTGTAAGACCCTAATCACAACGGTATCGTTTGAACCTTCATCTTATAATTGATGACTGAATAATCCGCGTGTTTTCTTAAATAAATATTAATAATAATAAAAATAAAAAGCTTGCAAACATCATCGTTAGTTGTTGTAGAATAATAAAAATAATTCTGTCATCCTTGATCAGTCTAAGGTGAAAGGGTACTGATGTGAATTGAACACGCCATTTTACAATGGAAGGTTGATTGAAATAACACCCCACCCCGGACTAACCAGAGTGAGCAGCATTCGGTTTCTTCTATTTAAAATCAAACGTGTTTTGGTCTTTAATTCAACAATCTTTTACTTTACGGATTTGTTTATTTTATACATTTTCCTTCAAAATGCATATGCCGACAAAAAAGTATAAAGGAAAAAAGGCTTACAAATTATGTTTAATGGGTCAAATTGTGATCGAAAGTCACAGCTTTCTGGAATATTGACAGAACCATTAAATCCACGTGACCCACTATCACTTTAACCACAATTTTCTGTAGATACTTGATCTTAGTGGTTTCCTTGTGTCCGATTGTGATCTTTTAATTGGATAAATGCTACAAAGTTAATAAACAGAAAAACGATTTATCAAACTCCCAAAGTTAGAAATAGAGTATTTACAATAGAAATTTGTTACTTTTATACTCTCCATGTTTATCTTCACAACAAGAATGATTTTCTACACATTTTTTGTGTGAAAAATCTGTGCTTTCCGTGCATTTTGAAACATATGACTTTGCTTTACCTTCCCACCACTTGATCAGTCTCCGAAATGGCAATATTCTAATTCTTCCTAGAAACGGATTACACAAATAGTGCATAAATCAACATATTGACTCGATACTGTTTCTAGGGTTCATCAATTAGCCTCCCCCCACATCCCTGCAGGAGTAATAAAATAATAAGAAATATATAAAATAAAATAATAACAAAATATGAAATAATTATTAAGGTAGCAGCATCATCGCTCGGCTTCTTAGCCTGAAGTGCAATAAGTTTTTTGCTATTTTTTGGGTTATTTGCGCAAAACCGGAAGTATTGCGCAACGCACCAGGTAAATTTTTACTTAAAACATATTACAGGTAAGAGCCAGAAAACTGCTGAATGATTGTCGTCTTTTTCTCGTTTTACTTGGAACTTTGTAACTTTTTCCCCTTTTTTTCAACTGATAAATCTTTACAAATTATCAGAAGTTAAAACTATTGTCTTAACAGGCGTAAATCTACAATGTCAGATGTCGATATCCACAGTGACAACTTTTAAATTTATATGCTTGATCCCTTCAGGGTGCGACCAACACGGAGGATTTCCATGAGGAATCCCGGCCTGCAGGGATACCTTAGATTGAGGGAATAATCTTTGATCCACAATTAAAAAAAGATCACACTAGATATCGAGATCACCGCGTTCAAAATTAACAATATTACCTCAAGAGTTCTGATCTCCTAGTGTTAATTTCTTTATTTCAGACTTGTGAGTTCATTTAATGAAACAAATATTGAATATCTCCGTTAATTTTTTTGGAGACAATTTTTTTTATTATCTCTTTGTGGCCTTCACAATAGTTTTAAAATCAACAACAATTACACAATAGAAGAGGCTGACTATTACACAATATAAGGGGCTGATTATTACACAATATAAGGGGCTGATTATTACACAATAGAAGGGGCTGATTATTACACAGTATAAGGGGCTGATTATTACACAATGACAACTTNACACAATATAAGGGGCTGATTATTACACAATAGAAGGGGCTGATTATTACACAATAGAAGGGGCTGATTATTACACAATAGAAGGGGCTGATTATTACACAATAGAAGGGGCTGATTATTACACAGTATAAGGGGCTGATTATTACACAGTATAAGGGGCTGATTATTACACAGTAGAAGGGGCTGATTATTACACAATAGAAGGGGCTGATTATTACACAATAGAAGGGGCTGATTATTACACAATAGAAGGGGCTGATTATTACACAATAAAAGGGGCTGATTTTTTTTTAACTGACCCGTGTTTTGCCGTCGTTACGGTACTTTAATTTAAGAGCTAGGATTTGATAAGACTGAATAATAAGACTCTACCGTGTTTTTTGGGACACCCTGTAATCTTAATGTGTTTACCAATATATTAGGTACACCCCGTAATCTGTATGTTTTTATCAATATATTAGGGACACCCTGTAATCTGTATGTTTTTATCAATATATTAGGTCCACCCTGTAATCTGTATGTTTTTATCAATATATTAGGTACACCCTGTAATCTGTTTGTTTTTATCAATATATTAGAGACACCCTGTAATCTGTATGTTTTTATTAATATATTAGGGACACCCTGTAATCTGTATGTTTTTATCAATATATTAGGTACACCCTGTAATCTGTATGCTTTTATCAATGTATTAGGTACACCCTGTAATCTATATGTTTTTATAAATATTTTACCTGCTCCGCCATAAGAGAAGAAGGGGCCGTTTTCATATCCAAACCTATTTGAAAAAAATTTAATTTTAAGATACTTGCTATTGCTAAGTTTGAAGTTAAATTTCTTATATTTATTTGATTTTAATTGCACCAGTATATTCATTAGTTATTTCAACATAATTCTGCAATTTTATTTCCAAAGGTATTGAGTCTAATTTTCACAAACAAAATTTTATGAATCCCTTTTTCTATTCAAACAAGGATTAAAATTCCTAGTTTGAAATATCAAAGAATCAAGAAACCCTTATATTTCGTAATATAAAACTGTACGAAAGTATCCCAAAATTTTGAACTTTTCTGCTCATTATTTCGTACATAATGTTGGTAATTTCAAAATTCTGGAATACAAATTTGGACTTTAATGGGCTTTATGTTAATACAAGTTTAGAATTGAAATATATTAATTCAGTGCAAGCAGTTAAAATCAAAGAATTATAAGAAATGAGTTCCAACTTTTCATAATAAAGTTGAAAAACATAATGATGATTTGTATTCTTTAAGAACTTTATGATTTTGAAATCATCATGCTATTTGTATTTTTATTTATAAAGGAGGGTTACATAATTTCTATATTATAATATATTTTATTATATTATGTTATAATCGCTTTAAATTGGATTTAACATTTTTTGTGTATTTTTCCAATTACTATCTATGATTGTTAATTGATAAAGTGTAGAATAAAAGATTTGACTTTAATAATGTTACTTTGAAAGAGAAAAGTAAAATTTATATGTTGCAATTAAATTCAAAGAATTGTGAGAAATGACTTTCAACTTCGTATAATGAGTTTCAATACATACCAATTGAATTATTTCTCTCAAAGAGCTCTATGATTTTGAAGTCATCATGATAATTGTTCTTTTATTGATAAAGCAGTCTAGCAGGGGTACGCAGTTTTGTGCACGTATTTATGATGACTTTTACATGACATTCAAGAACATGTTGGCCTTTTTACTATTTGATTTTTAACTGAAAAATTGATGACGTCACTTTTTTCATTTGACTTTTCTAAATAAAAATCAATGCTCATTTATATACATAATATAAAATATTCTAGATTATTACAATTTCGTTGTCTGTTCGTAAAAATGATAATAATGGATGTATTTTATATAATCTACTATTTTGTAAACACCACTCTAAGCGTTTCATAATCCGAGCCGGAACAACATGTTCAGTCTGGATGTAATGAATTATGTAATCATGCTAGTAATATCTTATTTATCTATGTTCGTTTATCTATCTTATCATGTTTCATGTTGACCCTGACTGGCCATTACGGTCAGTTTAATTTCACCTGTATATAAAATAAAGTAGTTCAATACGATTTGTCGATTAACACGGACGTATGCAGAGCCTTGAGTTTTGGCTAAAGATAGAGAGCCTTGAGTTTTGGCTAGAGATAGAGTCCGTGAGATTCTAGTTATACTTTGAGTATAGTTATCGTTGAAGAATCTCGGATCTAGATTTCTTACATGGACACCCTAACACGTTTTATACAACAAATGTAGCCTGGCAAGATCGCAGTGTGCAGGATTCCTAGTTATCAAATTTGACTTTTTTTACCTGGAATTGTCCAATCTGCTATTGCTGAGATCATGTTCAGCTCTTTTCCCTGCCCAGGAACTAAACAATTGTTGAAAAGTTTTTTTTTTTTTTTTTTTTTATTGTTTATTACTATATATTAATTCTATATTTTATATGTTATATATCTCATTTCTCGTTTTTTTTTTTTTGTAATTGTTTATTGCCATACAACATAACAAACAGTGCCATTTCGTTATTAACGACAAATAAATTTTCTTTTTTATTTGGGAGGAAAAAAATGTATCGAAACCAGTGTCCGAATTTATGAATTTAAGCCGCGTCTCAAATCACCCAAAAACCGGTTTTATTTGAGCGCCGACTTAAATCTAGAAAAACTCAATACAATTTTAACCGGAACCAGCCATATTTGAGCCACGGTTTAAATTCTCAAATTCTTTAGATTCGGTCTCTGGAACTATAAAACATAGTTGAAAAACGTAGTTTTTAGTTTTTTTAATTGTCTCCATAGTTCAAGTTACTCTTCAATGCGAATATGCCGTTTTACATTAAAACAGCGCCCTTACTAAGTTAATGACAGCATTGTTATTCTTGGAAAGAAAAATATGTATTTTGTGGCGAAAACATTTTTTTTGACATAAGATTTAAAAAAAGTTTTGTTTCAAAATGTAGAAATTTGTCGTTTCTAACTGTTTAACTTTTCCTTGAATTTTCCCAGAACTAGAAGCCAGAACATTTATGTTTTAATCCAAGGATCAAGCCTTGATCTTCATTTTATGCAGAATTAATTCCTTTTCCAAAACCCGTGATGGTCATACTTTATATTGAGATATCGAGCATTCAAAAGTGCATACATCGGATATCAAGATCTTAAGCGTTTAAGATTAAGGATACTTTATACAAAAATTCAGAACCCCGAATTCTTTTAGAGAAATTAAAGAAATCCAAATTCCAAATTATTTAGCGATATTTCTTTATTTAAAGAAATAATAAAGACGACAGTCGTTTAACAGTTTTCTGGTTTTTACTGTATCAATGATATTTCATAATAACATTTTAAAATGGAATAAATGAAATATTTACATACTTGAATGGCGCCCGTTTAAGAAACTGTCCGTAGGACACTGTAACAAGGATGGCCACAAGACAGGATAAAAAAGATAAGCCTCGCATGCCTAAACAAAGTTTTAATTAATTGATGTTTTTAGTCATAACTAATTAAATAATAACATAATTAAAGTTATCGGTCCATTTTTTTTTCTTTGAGCTGGCCATGAAAAATTGGACTATGAACATGCATTTTAACCCTTTACCTAGTCTCTAAGGCCTTTTCCCAGGCTATTCATAGATTCAGACCCCCCCCCCCCAGCCTTTATTGGGTTAAAAGAAAGAAAAAAGACTAATTATTCGCCTTAAACTTATTAAATCATTATCCTTAAATAGTGAACAGAAAATACTTATCAAAACTACCAAATTCACCCCCAATTTTTGTTCTAAGTGTTTTTGCGAAACCTGTCTGGCTTTTTTTTTAACACAAATAGCATCGTAGCAAATGTAAACTTTTGTTTGGCCGGTTTGGTATAATCAAGGATGTAATGCAAGGAAAGTTATTTCAGAAGTGTACACATCTTTTGTACTGCAGTGTACTGTTTCTGGGCGGTAATGTAAATGTAATGTAAATACAAGACGGATGTCAAAGCCTGACATGGAATCCATCTTTCACATAAAAAATCAATGAAATATTCTGGTCACAGGAAACTATTATGTGAATTATCAAAATTATCAAAATTCAATGCTTTTAACCTCCTCGGATACTAAACGAACACTGATGCACCCATTCTTGTCTACAAATTCCGCCCAAAGAGAACTGGTTTTAATATGTACGCAGAATATACTCGACCGCAACTAACTTTCCTTGCATTATACCCTTGGTTATAATCTCTTTTTAACAATTGCCCCCCCCCCCTATATAATCAAAGTTTTATTTTGCCCCTTTCCCTTCCCCCTATCATCTCTTTTAATAAGATTATGTAAGTTCTGTCCTCACTTCTATGTTATATAGAACTAAATTGAAAGGATGTATTTCATGTGAACTAATGAATATTGATGAAAAATACCTGCACTTCTACTTTTATTTAAAAACTAAATAAATTAGAAAAACTTTTAACTTGAAACCCTTACTTTATCAGGGGTAGAGTTAGGCATTGTTATTACTATTAGCCGGTTTTTAAGGCGCGTCTATGTCAACTTTTAGCTGGGGATCTATTTGTGAGTATTTTCTCTTTGTACAATATAAAACAATGACAAAAATTTTTGCGGATTTGATAATATTTTTACCGTCGATTTTTAAAATTTTACAAAAATAAAAAAAAATTGGAGTCAAATTTTTGTAATTCTTAGCAGCCATGATTTTTTTTGGGGTCACTAAATCGCCTCAAAAAGATTGGGCCCGACCAGTTTGACGTTTTTTAAAATAGACACCAAGATATGACAAGCAAAGTATATATATAGATTCTAGGATTTGAGGCTTTTTGGAGGCTAACTTCATTTAAAATTTTATTTTCAATCAGTTTTTAATGAAAATATGTCAAATTTGTCTCTGAAAGAAAGAATAGGCCGGAACTAAGAAACCCCATTTCTTTGACAATCTTGCCTAAAAAAAGGAAAGATAATAACAATGCCTAACTCTAATCCTGCGGAGAAAATAAAATCCAGCATAATTTTTTTTTCAACCTGCAGTCTTGTTAAAGATATTTTCACAATGTTTTCCATTTGGAGAGAAATTGTGGATAAAAACAAAATAATAATGTAAAGCAAGTAATTCAATTCTAACGCATTGCAACCTTTTGTCTGATAAATAATGTTAATGATATCGTTGTTTTTCAAAGCTGGTTAAATCTGATAATTTCTATTGTTTCCCTGCAGTAAAAACGAGCACATCATTTCTGTAGAGAAACCACAATTAAAAATAATCATATTTCAAAATCACAAAAGTTAATATCTTATTCATATTTGACCAGAAAAATACAATGCAATGCAAAGATAACAATACCACAACGGTACCAAATGGCAACCTTTGTCTGATTAATAATGTGAAAGATATTGTTGTTTTTCTAGCTTCAAAGCTGGTCAAATCTGATAATTTCTATTGTTTCCCTGCAGTAAAAACGAGCACATCAATTCTGTAGAGAAACCACAATTAAAAATAATCATATTTCATAATTACGAACATTGATATATAATTCATACGTGATCAGGAAAATCCTAAGGATACCGTTGTGAATCCTAATGGAACCGTTGTGAAGCGACAATCACTTGAACTTACGCGAACTACAGTTCCATTGGCGCCGTTTTTTTCTTACGAAAGATTAAGTTAAGAATATGGTTTAATAAAAAATCATTTTAAATATCTGATAAACTCCTTAAACTTGCGTTCAAATCTGTTATAAGATGATAAAATGTTATCAAATTGATTTAAAATTTTAAGTACTAACAAAATTATTTTTATGGAACTATTATTGGTATAGTTCTGATTTGGATTTGTTTAGTTTTGTTTATCTTTTATGAATCAATCAACAACTTCTAAAATCTTATTTGTTTAGTTTCGTGCCATGAACTAATTTTTATAATCTAAAGTTTTATTGCACTTCATAATTAAAAACCTACTTTTTGGATTAAAAGAAAAACTTATTAAATCAAATATTTTTTGATTTAATATTTCTGTTTTTCTTTGTAGCATGTTTTCATAATGAGTTCAACCTTCTAACTAAAATATCCGTATTAAAATGGATGGATGTTTATAAATGTGTTTTATGGCAAGAACAATTCAAAAAAGAAGAAAACGTCAATAAATGATTCACGTTTTTTAATTCATTAACAAGTTTTAGACATTTTTCTTTGATGATTATTGCTTCTAGTATCCTCCTTTATAATTTTACAGATGCATAAAGGAGTTGGCAATTTTTATGAAATATTTTCACCTTAATAAGTTATTTTTTGAATGCTACATACCATTAATATAAGAAAACCTGTTGAATAAATCGTCTGTTTTGAAAGGGTACGTTTTTGATATATTTTTTAGAATATGTGAGAAGTAATTAAGGGAATTTTAGATACTTTACCAGGGGTTCCCTCGACCAATTTTGCCTAAAAAACATTCAGAGCGCCGCGAGGGAATAAGTCGTTAAAGAAATTGAATTTACCGAAAAATGGTTGTACACAAGTTTTATGGTCTCTTGAGATAAAATTGCGCGAAATTTTCAGGAAAACTTTGCTAAGCAGTTGTTTATTTAACTTATTTTTACCAAGGGACGTTAAGTAACTTAACCTTCCTCTGTTGGAGGAGCATAATTCGGTAATCACCTTTTCCAATTGACATGCCTCAATCAATCAACTTATCCCCTTCACCAATGTAGCCCCCCTCCCCCCCTGATGTTAAGTTTAAGCTTAAATGGAGCTTGTTGTTTTAATTCCTAGATTTGTTTATCTTGTCCACAAGATGTTCAATATTTACACGACAAAACACTATTCTTCGACCAGAAGTTTCAATCAGGACTTTATTTATCTTTTCCCCANTTCATTCATTCTTTTCTTACTAACCATGATTTGTTTCTTTTTACTTCCCTAAATTATATTTTATTCCCTCCTAGCCGTATCCTTTTCATAGCATACTCTTGGTCGTAAACTTTTATTTTTATTCTATTTGGAAGCATTCAATTGTCTTTTTTTCCTTTGCTTTCCTAACACAGTTTTATTTCAACATTGTCCTAAATCTATTTTTCCCTTTGATTTTTTCCATTTCTTTCCTAGTAAAAGTTGTTTTCCCGCACCTTCCTAAATTCAATTTTATCTCAACACCTTCCTAAATTGAATTTTATCTCAACACCTTCCTAAATTCAATTTTATCTCAACACCTTCATTCAATTTTATCTCAACACCTTCCTAAATTCAATTTTATCTCAACACCTTCATAAATAAAATTTTTTCTCAACACCTTCCTAAATTCAATTTTATCTCAACACCTTCCTAAATTCAATTTTATCTCAACACCTTCCTAAATTCAATTTTATCTCAACACCTTCCTAAATTCAATTTTATCTCAACACCTTCCTAAATTCAATTTTATCTTAACACCTTCCTATATTCAACTTTATCTCAACACTTTCCTAAATTATCCTCTACTCTAACACCTTTGTAAATTTAGTTTTATTCCAATACCTTCCTAAATTAAATTTTTTTTTCTAAATTAAACTATTGAGAAATATAAGCTATTAAACTAAATAAACATTAAGAGGGATCTAAGTAGCTAGTAAGATAAATAAGCTAGTGAGACAAATAAGCTATATTAGATGAATAAGCTATATTAGATGAATAAGCTCCTAAGATGAATAAGATAATTGTTAACAAGCTTTTCCGAATTAAAACTTTACATGTAATTAAATAGAAGCTTTTTTAATTAACAGCTTCTCTTTGTTTCCATGTTTTTGTGTATCCATGCTGTTTAAAAGCTTGTTATAAATTAGAATTGAAATCTAAAGTCGTCTTCCTTATATCGATATAATCGCCTACCATCGTAGTAAGATGAATAAGATATTGAGATAAATAAGATAGTGAGATAAATACGATAGTAAGATAAGTAATAGATGAATAATCTAGAAAAACTAGATAATTTATCTATGAGAAAAAATACTAGTAGGAGCTGAATAACCTTGAGAACTAAATAAGCTAAGGAGATAAATAAGCTTGAGGACTAAATAAGCTAAGGAGATAAATAAACTTGAGAACTAAATAAGCTAAGGAGATAAATAAGCTTGAGAACTAAATAAGCTAAGGAGATAAATAAGCTTGAGAACTAAATAAGCGAAGGAGATAAATAAACTTGAGAACTAAATAAGCTAAGGAGATAAATAAACTTGAGAACTAAATAAGCTAAGGAGATAAATAAACTTGAGAACTAAATAAGCGAAGAAGATAAGTAAGCTTGTGAACTAAATAAGATGTAGGAGCTAATTAAAATTGAGAACTAAATAAGCCAAGGAAATAGATAAACATGAGAACTAAATAAGATAAGGAGATAATAAACTTGAGAACTAAATAAGCTATAGGAGCTAAATAAACTTGAGAACTAAATAAGCCAAGGAAATAGATAAACATGAGAACTAAATAAGCTAAGGAGATAAATAAACTTGAGAACTAA